AGCGATAGAGGAGGCAGGCCCAGGGGCGTAGGCTCTCGCCGACGCTCAGGTTCATCCTCCGAGCGGCAAGGGCGTGAGACAAGGGATTCGGCTGCGTTGCATTCCAAGGCCGCCCACAATGTAGCATGTTCGCTGTGTCTGTCTCCAGCGAGGTCGCGCTCCAGTAAGCCAGGAAGCGCGCCCCCAAAATCGAAGCGGCACCGTGGGCGTGAGCTCCGCTGGCACTCTGGATCGGCCTCTGAGCAACGGAGGGCAGTGTTCTGTTCGGGGTTTTGCCGTCGGCTGGCGCATTCTGGCAGCCGTCCTGTTTCGGGAGAGCGTAAGACCCGGGTTTGCCAGGACTCGGGTTCGCCATCGTTTTTTGACGACCGCGACTCGGATTTTGACGAGTAGGAGTTTCGTGGGATGTCTGCAGCGGGAGGCCTCGTCAAAATGCAGGCTCGGCCTCGTCATTTTTTTGACGACCTCGTCGGGGATTTCCGAGTCCCCTGTACCCGGCTCTTACGTCCCCCCGACTGTTGGATTGCGCGAGACGTTTTCTTCACGCGGCGGCGATTGGCCGCTGCCGGTTTGGCAGTGGCGGTGCTCTCGAGCTTTGGCGGCTCTCCGCGGGTGCCGCTGGCACGCCCCGACGCTGCGGGCGAGGCGCCGAGGAACGTCTTTGGGACCGGGCGGCTTTCGAGATCGGGCTCGCGACCGTTCCAGACGCTTCCTCCTCCTCCTCCTCCTCGTCATCATCATCATCATCATCATCATCATCCTCATCATCCTCATCATCATCATCACCATCATCATCATCACCATCATCATCATCATCATCATCATCATCACCATCATGATATTCAGATTCAGAGTCATCTTCATGTTCATGTTCATTCCCCACATGCTTCGTGGGTTCTGGTTTTCTTCCTTGCCGCGCCGCGCCCGCGACACTCACACCTCACCTCTCGCTCCTTTCCACACAGAACCCGAGACCGCACCAGACAACACACTACAGCAACACAGCACAGCACAAGACAGAACAGGCGTGGCACAGCCGCACACGCATCACATAGCGTGGCATTTTCTCGACACAATAGGGGGTGCGCAGGGGGTGGTCTCTCTCCGCGGCCGCTATGCGCGCCTCTCGCCCAGGCACAACAGGCGTGGCACTTTCTCGACACCAGAGGGGGTGCGCAGGGGGTGGTCTCTCACCGCGGCCGCTATGCGCGCCTCTCGTCCACGCACAGCAGGCGTGGCTCTTTCTCGACACCATAAAGGGGGTGCGCAGGGGGTGGTCTCTCACCGCGGCCGCTATGCGCGCCTCTCGTCCAGGGCATAGCAGGCGCGGCACTGTCTCGACACCAGAGCGGGTGCGCAGGGGGGGGTCTCTCACCGCGGCCGCTATGCGCGCCTCTCGTCCAGGCATTGCAGGCGTGGCACTTTCTCGACACCAGAGCCTCTGGTGTGGGGGTGCGCAGGAGGTGCGCACCCTCTGGCAGAGGGGGTGCGCACCCTCTCGACACCAGTGCGCACCCCCTCTGGCAGAGGGGGTGCGCAGGAGGTGGTTTCTCACCGCGGCCGCTATGCGCGCCTCCCGTCCAGGGCATAGCAGGCGTGGCAGGTTCTCGACACCATAGGGGGTGCGCAGGGGGTGGTCTCTCACCGCGGCCGCTATGCGCGCCTCTCGTCCACGCACAGCAGGCGTGGCTCTTTCTCGACACCATAAAAGGGGGTGCGCAGGGGGTGGTCTCTCACCGCGGCCGCTATGCGCGCTTCTCGTCCAGGGCATAACAGGCGTGGCACTCTCTCGACACCATGGGAGGTGCGCAGGGAGTGGTCTCTCACCGCGGCGGCTACGCGCGCCTCTCGTCCAGGCACCGCAGGCGTGGCTCTTTCTCGACACCACAGGGGGTGCGCAGGGGGTGGTCTCTCACCGCGGCCGCTACGCGCGCCCCTCGTCCAGGGCACAGCAGGCGTGGCATTTTCTCGACACCAGAGAGGGTGCGCAGGAGGTGGTCCCCCACCGCGGCCGCTATGCGTGCCGGTCGCCCAGGGCATTGCAGGCGTGACACTTTCTCGACACCAGGGGGGGTGCGCAGGGGGTGGTCTCTCACCGCGGCCGCTATGCGCGCCTCTCGTCCAGGGCATAGCAGGCGTGGCACTTTCTCGACACCATGGGGGGTGCGCAGGGGGTGGTCTCTCACAGCGGCCGCTATGCGCGCCTCTCGTCCAGGCATAGCAGGCGTGGCAGGTTCTCGACACCATAGGGGGTGCGCAGGGGGTGGTCTCTCACCGTGGCCGCTATGCGCGCCTTTCGTCCAGGGCACAGCAGGCGTGGCATTTCCTCGACACCATAGGGGGTGCGCAGGGGGTGGTCTTTCACCGCGGCCGCTATGCGCGCCTCTCGTCCAGGGCATAGCAGGCGTGGCACTCTCTCGACACCAGAGGGAGTGCGCACGGGGTGGTTTCTCTCAGAGTGTAAGGCCACAAGGGAGCACAAGCTTGGGGGGGCGCTATCAGCATCATCATCCTCATCATCATCCTCATCATCATCATCAGCATCATCATCATCATCATCATCATCACCAAGAGCTGTAGCCACCGTTTATTCATGCCGGTTCACGCAGCTCGATGCGTGAAAGTTGGCGACCGCCCGTGATTCTCCGTCAAAGGTAAGTTCCCTGTCATGGCGCCCAAATGCGCCATCACCGCATTGCCACCTTCGTGCGAGCAGCTCAAGAACACAATGTTGGAGATGGGCGCCGAGGTGAACCTAGATGGTTCGCGCGCATATGTTGTCAGGCATGGAAACGTTTTGGCACACAACGCCGCTCATGCTTACCAGCGACAGCTTCTGAATTGGTGGCCTGGGACGTTCCTCGCCAGGTACAACAATTTGCCGCGTCAACGAGGCGACGACGATGCAAGGAGGCAGTGCTTGGTCTGGTACTTGCTGAACCCTTCGTCCGGCGGGTTCCCAGCTGATCAGCCGGGGGGGTGGACAGAGGAAGGCGATGGCTCGCCGTTGGCGAAAGTTCGGCGGGTCGGCGACACAGGCAACGGGGGCGTTGCCACGCCCGCGCAGGACACGCCTATCAAGTCCACGCCCATGCAGGCCTTCACTCCTCGTCGTCGTCGTCGTCGCCGTCGTCGGTCTGCTGGAGCTTTGGCCTGCCATCCCGGCCTCCGCTCCCGCCCTCTGCCGCTCCCCACGTCTGACCATGTCTGGCGGCGACGACGACGACGACGGCGACGAACTTCGAGGTTCGAGGAGGTTTTTTCCCGCTTTCGGTGTTTGGAGGCCCGTTCTAAACCCCGGGGTTCCAGGACCGCCGGGAATCGATCTGGAACGAAAAACTGAACCGGGGAGACCCCAGGAGGGGTTTGGGGATTGATTTCGAGCCGATTTCGGTCGAGGGGACGACGACGACGACGACCACGAGGACGACGACAACGACGACGACTGCAACGACCACGACGACCACGACGACGACGACCACGACGACGACGACGACGAGTGCGACGTTGTTTTGGTTTGCTGGCTGGCTGGCTCGCGCGGTTCGTGGTGGTGGCGTTGGTAGTGGTAGCGTGGTGCGCACAGGACATAAAATAAAGTATGTGGACTTCCTCGGTAGCGTACAGTACTCATCCTCATCATCCTCATCATCGTCATCATCATCAGCGTCAGCACATCATCCGTATCATCATCGTCATCACTATTACCAGCATCAGCAGCATCATCATCGGCAGCAACATATTCGTCATCACCACCATCACCATCATCACAAGTAACAACATCAGCATCATCAGCATCAGCATCCGCATCAGCATCAGTAGTAGCACCAAAACCATCGTCATCATCATCATCATCATCACCATCACCATCACCATCACCATCACTAACATCATCATGGCGCGTACTACTTCCCTCTCACCACCATGGCCTGGAAATGCGTGGCTTGCTCAGCCCTCGTCGCGTTTACGACGAAGGCGGGCCGCGGGCCCCCCTTGACCGTCTGCTGCCCGCGCGCATTTCACGAGGTGCCCGCGCGAAAAGATGGGCTCGATCGATCGACCTCTCGGGAGCAGCGGGGGGCCTGCAAGGCCAGCGGCCAGCGCAGCCATCCCCTGGGCCGTCGCCTCTGCCGGACGGCCTTGGATGCGGCGCCGCCGAGGCGCTTTGTCGCCCTCTGCCAAGCACGCCGCCTGCCGTGCCGCGCAAGCGAACGGCGGCCCTGGCAGCCCCCGCTCGGCAGGGTTTTGGGGAGCCTGTTCGGCCAGCGAGCCGGGCAGGAGCGATTCACCGTGCGGCGCGCTCGATCGCAAGGGCCCTGGCCGGGACCATGTTCACACACCATCGGCATCATCAGCGGGCCCACCATCATCTCCATCGATCGATCGAACCATCATTCTCATCGTCCCCGTCCTCGTGTGCCTCAGTGTCCTCATCCTGCGAATCGTCCGAATCACCCTCTGGTTCGATCCAGCCTCGTCATCGTTTGCCTCCTCCGTCCTCGCCGTCGTCCTGTCAAAAGCGAGACCCTGGCCGGAGCGCCTGCCGTGGCGCGCCCGCCGCGGTGGAGCGCGCGGACCCTCCTCGGAAGGCGGCCCGGCTCGTCCGCAGCTTTCCGGCCGTCCGAGAAGCCGATTCTCTGTCTTCGGAGGCTGCTCGGGACGCCTCTCAAGCAGTGGCGAAGCTTCTTGGCGTGCCTGTAGGCCTATCAAAGACATGTTATGCGAGCCTTTGGTGGTTTCCACGAACTGTTCTCAGGACGCTTCTGGCTGGGGCTGTCTTGTTTTAACACATCGGGCTTGTGTTACATTGCTTTTGTTATGGGAGCAGCTTTGGGTTCTAAGAACACTTCGTGGTAGGCCTCTAGGAATGCTGGGACGGTCGGTCCCTGCTCAACCCTCTGCCTTCCCCCCTGGTCGCGGGCAGCACTGGGAGGAAAGAATCGGTAGCAGCAGCAACCTCGGCGGCGGCAGCGGGATCAGCAGCAGATGGTAGTTCGTCCGAGGCGATGGCGCGACGTTGGCCTTGAGGTTGCTGGACGCGATCAAGCTGCGCAGGTTGCTGAAGGAATTGAACCCCGCGCAGGATGCCGCTTTTCTTTCTGGGCGATCCTTTCGCCATCATAAGACCATGGTTCCGATGAGCCCACATTCGGTGATTGGTTCACCGACTTTCGCCCCCCTGCTTTTAGATGCGGCAGCGTTCCATATGTGGATTGCAAGGTTGCGGAGCGTAGTTATGCGCGCCTGCCCTTCGTCCCCACTTTAGCTCAGTCATCCCTCCCCTGCTGTATATCGAAGACACGGCGAATCACCGCCGCCCCCTTCCTTCTCGGATACGCCCATGTGGCCAAACGTTTGGGCAAAGTTTGGCCACGCTCTTGGACGATGCGTTCCCCCAGCCGTTGTATAAGCCCTTCGGGGAACACTTGGGGGAGGAACAGGAGGATGAGGAGAGGGAGGGAAAAGGAGGGAAGAAGGATCAGGAGATCTCTTGGGAGCCTCTTGTGTCGTTCTCGGCTGGACGACATGGTCCACTTCGTTTCAAAACACAGAGATGTGTTGACCCCGAGAGAGATAGAGCAGAAAGCTGCTGCAAACGGCCAGGAGGCGCGAGATATACTGTTCACCTGCTGCTGCGGTTCGCCGCGCAAGACGCATGGAACGCCATAGAGCACGATGTCTGCCAGGCGTTTTATGCTGCAAGGGGGTGTCTCGGCCCCAGCCACGCGGCACCTACTAAGGGTGCGCAAGGCGGGCCGCAGTCGCAGTCGCACATGGGTCATTCTTGGGGCATCCTGGAGGAGGAGGAGGAGGAGGAGGAGGAGGAGGAGGAGGAGGAGAGGAGGAGCGATGGAGGAGCAGGAGGAGAGCGAAGGAGGAGGAGGAGAGGAGGAGGAGGAGGAGGAGGGAGGAGGAAGAGGAGGAGGAGGAGGAGGAGGAGGAGGAGGAGGAGGGAGGGGAGGAGGGGGAGGGGGGAGGGGGGGGGGGAGGGAGGGGAGGGAGGGGGGAGGGGAGGGGGAGGAGGAGGGAGGAGGAGGGAGGAGGAGGAGGAGGAGGAGGAGAGAGGAGGAGGAGGAGGAGGAGGAGAGGAGGAGGCTTCTTTGCCTCTTAAGACGTTTCTGGGCCCGTCTGACGCCGTCGGGAGCCGTCTTGGGCGCATTTCTGGGCCGCCTTGGGGCCCTCTAGGGGCGCTCCAGGGTCGTCTTGAAGGCCATCTGGGGCGTCTTGGAAGCCTCTTGGGCCGTCTGGGGGGCTCTCTGGGGGCAGTCTTGGAAGTCACTTGGGCCGTCCTGGGGCCATCTTGGAGGCCTCTTGGGCAATCTTGGGGGCCTCTTGATCCGTCTTGGGCCGTCGGAAGGTCGTTCTGAAGCACATGCCGAAACCCTTCAAACATGTCAGGTAAATCAGTGATTTTGGCCTTCGCGTCTTCCTGGATGACCTCCTGGAGGCCTCTTGGGCCATCTTGGAGGCCTCTTATGCGGCTTCTTGGGCCGTCTTGGGAAATCGTGTGCCGTCTTGTGTGCATCTTGGGCCGTCTTGGGTGCATCTTGGGGCCATCTTGGGCTCTCTTGGGGTCATCTCGGGACAAGATAGCCCGTGTGAAGAAGTCCCCCGCAGGTGCCGATTCTTCGTTTCTTCGTTTCAATGCGACCAGCCCACCGCAAGCGCTTCCCAATTCAATGTGGGTGGGTCGCGGGCGTGCATCGCGAAAGTGTCGTAAGGGTGTCGAGTGAGTGTCGCTGGGGGGGGCGCGGATGGGTCGTGGGTGGATCGCGGGTGGGTCGCGGGTGAGTCTCGAGGGAGGTCGGCATCGCGGAACTAAATCTCGGCCACTCAACCATGGACAGTGTAAGACCGGTCGGCCCCCTCTTGCTGATTACTCCAGGTTTCGTAATAAAAGGGAGGGGTCTCAACCCTCCCAGATGAGAAGTTTTAGACCCCCCCCCGTGGGAGAACCCTCCAAAACATCGTCCCCAGACCCCCCCAGGCCCTCCAAGATAGCCTGGAAGAGACCCCCCCCGAAATGAGACCCCCTCCCTTTTGTTACGAAATCTGGAGTACGTTACAGTATGGCTGTCGCAGTGTCGGGCCAGCATCTTCGATTGATGTTTTTGACCCTTCGAGCCTTGGCGTGAGCCATGGCCAGCATGGCTCTGGCCCTCGAGGCTGGCTGGCTGAAAATCCACAGGCAGCCCAGCGGTGTCTGGAGTGATCCCCGCCTCGCTCTCGCCGCCGTCCCGCTCCCAGATGGCCTCCGCGCCGTGGGCGCCGGACGCCACGGTGCTCGAGGCGGTGGAGAGGCTCGACGCCAGCGTCGTCCCTCTGGTGAAGGCCCCCGCTGGTCGGTGGGTGCAGGAGGAGTCGAAGACGAACAAATGCCACACAATTCAACTTTCGTCGCTGCGCGCGGACTTCTCGGTTCCGCTCTGGACCCCCCCCCATGGCGCGCGGAACGCGCCGGGGCGGCGCCGGAGGCGTCGCCGGGGGGGGCCCAGCGCGGATCCAAGACATCCGCGCGGAGCGCCGAAAGTGTATGTGCAGGCGGGGCATACAGTGGGGGCGCGCATCAAGAAACCATAATTATGCTTTTCGTCAGGGTACCCTGGGTTTCTTCGCTTCGCGCGCTGCGCGGTGACCCCCTCGGCCGTCAAACAAGCTGCTGCGTTCAGGGTGCTCCAGGTTTCCCCTCAGGTGCACCTCGCGCGCGGGTTTTCAGTGTTGGGTTTCTTGCGTGGGTTTCTTGCGGCCGCGCCCGCACTGTAGAGGTAAGCAGTGGGCACGTGGGACACCACGGGAGGAACGGCCGCAGCATCACCACTGGCTGTGGCCGTGGACGCGGCTTCGGCGGTGGCTGCAGCTGTTGGGGAGCAAGAGCAGAAGTGGGAGAGGGACAACGTGAGGGATGCCAAGGTGGACGTGGCAAAGGTGGGCGTGCAGGGAAGCCGCCAGTTAGAGGTGGGATTCGAGGCAGTGGAGCTGAGGAGAGGAGGGACCTTCTAGTTGCGGGTGAGGCGCGCGTGCCCAGGGGCCGGTCTTCGGGACAAGTCTGGTCTGATGTCGCTCCCAAGAGTTCTCGTGCAGGCTCCTGGAGTTCCACGACTCACAGCGCGCACAGCAGGCATAGGGGGCCACACGCGAACCCTACCCCCACCCCCCACGACTTCTGAGGGGGAGGGTGGGGCTCGCTTCTCTGAGGAGCTCCTGAACGAAGTGAACCCCACCCTCCCTCTCAGAAATCGTGGGGGATGGGGGTAGGGTCCGCATGTGGCTCCATAAGGCAACCACTCCTGGTGCCCCCGAGCGCGTGCCTTTTTTTTTCGCTGGGCGGAGCGAGGCCCCGAGCTCCCCCGCAGGGGGTATGGGGCTCTGGGCTGGCCAGGGCCCCTCCTCCTCCTCTTCCTCCTCCTCCTCCTCCTCCCCTCCCGCCCTCTCCGCCCTCCTCCTCCCTCCTCCTCCTCCTCCTCCTCCTCCTCCTCCTCCTCTCCTCCTCCTCCTCCTCCTCCTCCTCCTCCCCCCCTCCTCCCCCCCCTCCTCCTCCCTCCTCCTCCTCCTTGTCCTCCTCCTCCTCCTCCTCCTCCTTTCCTCCTCCTCCTCCCTCCTCCTCCTTGTCCTCCTCCTCCTCCCTCCTCCTCCTCCCCGCGCCCCGCCCGGGCAGGCCCTAACGATGGAGATGGAGGAGGCCGCCGCGGAGGGCGGCGGAGGTGCGGAGGCGCGCAGGGCTGCCGGGCGCGGGCTCTGCCAGGGTCACCGAGCGCGTTGCATTGCTCGCAAAGCGCCTACGCGCAAGCGTCCGAAGAACACGTGTCCGCTTCGAGGTCATTTGTCGTAGATCCTCCGCGGAGGGTCAAGCGTCCGAAGAACACGTCATTTGTCGTAGATCCTCCGTGGAGGGTCCAGGCCATTGGCGAGTAGTTACTTCGCGGGTAGTGGAACGCACTCGTCGAAGGGGGGATGGCTGGCCGCCGCGCAGGCACACGCCCCCATCGCCCTCCCCGGGCTCCAGGCTTAAGTCGGGCCCGTCCCTCTACAGGGGGGATATTCAAAAATAGTCAAAAAAGAGTCGGAGGATTATTTGTTTACTATTTTGTAGCATTTGGGAGGTAATGCTCAAGTATGTTTTAATTTTCCCCCCAAATCCCCCTGTAGGGGGACACGCCCGACGTAACTCTGGGCCGACCCCCCCCCTCCCGCAGAAGAGAGCCGAGGGCTCCGGAGCGGTCACGGGCCGCGAGGCCGACCTGGCCTAGCGCGAAGAGGGCGAGAGGCCTTAGAGGTAAGTCGGGCCTGTCCCTGCACAGGAGAAATATTCGAACATAGTAAAAAATAGTCTGGGGACGATTTGTTTTAAACTATTTTTGACTGTTTGGGAGCCTTCTTAGTGTATTTTTTGTTTTTCGCCCAAAATCCCCCTGTAGGGGGACATGCCCAACCTAAGCCTAGATACCTCGAAGGAACAGGAAGGGGGCACGAACATGAGCATGACATTGTGTTCGCAACCGCCACCGCGAGCGGTGCAGGGAGCATGTTTTTTGGGGGGGAGGTTTGCAAGCGTGAGATGTTCGGCAACCCATCCACAATGTTTCAGACGGAGGCCTGCAGACCTTGGTGCAGATATGAGCCGCTTCCAGGTGGGGCAACCAGCCGTGCAGTTGTCTACAACAACCTTTTTGGCGTTCCGTCAGCGATCATACGGGGCGGGCTTCCAGTACTGTGTTTTTTTGCGGTCCATGTCTCACCAGGCCCCACCGTCCCGTTGGGCACCGTGGGGGTCGATGTGTGAACGCAGTAGTTCTTTGGTGTAGTTCTTTGGTGTGAGTTGATTCCAGTGAGCATGCAGACGCTCTGGTCTGCATTCTCGCGCGGGCTTCCATTGTCTGCCCGCAGCCTGCGACTCTGATCCGATCGACCTTATCTTCCTCCTCCCTCCCAACATGTGTGGTAATTTTGCGCTCGCGTCCGCAATCGCGCGCCTTCACCTTGTCTCCTCATGTTTCTTGTATCACCCTGTGTTGTCGCTTCGCGGCCTCGGTTTCGCTTGGGCCAACGCGTCGGATTGACATTTGGGTGTTAAAATATTTGGCCTATCGTTCGCACGCGGACTGCGTTCCATGTAGCGAAATCGAGCCCAGCCTTGTGAAACCACATAATCAGAACGCGCGTGGGAAACACAGTCGCCACGAACGAGACGCACGTGCGGAACGCGTGTGGAACGCTGGCGCACGAATGCTGCTTCGAAGATTGCAGCACATGTGCTGCGAGTCCTGCAGCGTCCCTTCCACGATCCCACCGCCACCCAACGCCTTCATCGGTGGCTTGGTAGAGATCTTGTGCCCAACCTGAGGGAATGTAGCGATACGTTCGGCGGATCTGCCGTACTGATCCGTGGAAAGAAAATGAATCCGTGTTCCAGAACACGCGTGTGCGTGTGAGTCCTTGCGTGCGTGCGATCAAGCGTCACTGCACGTGAGAGAGATCGGGAGGGACTGGGCGAGAGAGCGAGGGATCGCCCAGGTGATTCCAGCGCCCCCCGCGCGGCAGCAATCGCAGCCGCCCTCCACGCCGCCACCGGACGCCGCTGCACTGCCAGTGTTGGCGGTGCGCCCGCGGAAGCGGCGCCGAGATGGCGCCAGAGATTCCGCTGGCGGTGGGGGAGGCCTCTTCTTGCTTATGCCTCTCGTGTTTGCTGGCGGTCTGCAGGCGGAGGCTTCCGATACTCTCGGGGATCTCCTCACCGTGCTGCAATCAGTGGAGCACTGTCGCCGGTGGAGATTTCAAGGCGCATGTGCATGTATGGGGGGCATCTCTGCAGCGATGCGATCTTCACATTTGGATCCTGATTGCGTCCGCAGCCCTGTTGAGCACGAGGCGTGAGCGCAAAGCTAGCATCCCCAGCCGCCGCACCCTCGCCTCCCCCCAACCCATCTCATATTGAGTCAACCTACACGAGGTGCCTCTCCAGCATTTCACGTGATCGTTCTCTTATTTAATCGCTTCGCTCATTCCGCCGGCCCTGGAGCCCTCTTTAGGGCCTCTTGGAGACCTCTTGGGAGTCTCTTGGGGCTCCTTGGCGGCGTCTTGGGGGACCCCAGGGCCTCTTGGGGGGCTCTTGGGGGCCTCTTGGGGCGGCAGGGGGGGTAGTCGATTGCGGCTCCCTCCTCGGAGGCCACGATCCTCGTGAGGGGTGTCGAAGAATTGCCCGGTCCGGCATCTCTGACCCGAGTCTGCCGGGACCCTGCCGGGGTACTTTTCGCCCGGAGACCCCCAGGGGCGGCCCTGCGCGCGCGAACTAGAATATTGTTAACCAGTTACCGTAGATCTTAGCACGCCTCTGGCCCGTTGGGCCGGCGAATTCATTGTTTTGCCGATCGGCGCGGACCCTCGCACCACCCCTCCCCCCCCACGGAGTTGATCTTGGCCGTTTCTGGCGCCTGCTCCTGAGGCAGGTGGAATCTCCCCCACAGGACGCACTGCTGCAAACAGTCGCTCTGAGCAGAGGTCCGGAGCCAGACCCCCCCCCTTCCCCCCCCTCCCGCCCAATGTCGAAACGCCGAATAAGAAAACGCTCACCATTTGCTTCGAAGGAGGACGTGCCAGCAAGCCATGTTGAAATTAAGTATGCGCTCCAGAAGTGTATGTTGTATCGAGCGCGAGTGTTCAAGCAGCCCACCGCGCGCGCTCCAACACTGCATCTTTACCCGGCGCAAGGATTTCGGCAGTTCTAGCAGTGTGGCCGCCATGGTCGTTGTCCGCCTTCGCCGTCGTCGCATGCGCCTGCGCCGTCACCGCCGCCGCTGCTGCGGGCGCCGTCGCCATCGCCGCCGTGGTTGTCGCCGTCGCCGCCCTCGCCGTCGCCGCCGTTGCCTGCGCCGTCGCCGTCACCGCCGCCACTGCCACCGTCGCCGTCGTCGTCGTCGTCTCCGCCGACGTCGTTGCTGGTGCCTTCGCAGAGGCCGTCGTCGTTGCCGACGTCGCCGCCGTCGCCGTTCCCAACGTCGCCGTCGTTATTGCCGCTGACGTCTTCGTCGTCGCTGCTGCCTTCGCCGTGGCCATCTCCGCGGTCTGGCCATAATTCCCACTCGCGGGATATTCCACTGACTGGCCAGTCAGTGGAATATTGTTTGATCCTCGCTGCGTCCGTAGTGCTTTTTGAGAACGATGCGTGAGCCCAATGCTAGCACTTGCAGTTACCTTCCCCAGCCCAGCGTCATGATGTCTTCGTAAAAACGGAGTGGCGCCCCAGCGGGCAGTTTGAATCGAAGGAGGGCGTTCCAGCAACCCATGCCCAAGACAAGGGCGCGCACTCCTCCATCACTGCACTTAAATCGAGCACGAGCGTTCCAGCAGCCCACGGCGTGCACTCCAGCACTGCATTTCTGCCCAGCGCGATCCTTCCAGCATCTCGAGCAGAAGCAAGGGATGTGACGTCGCCGCCGTCGCCGTTGACGTCGCCGCCATGGTCGTCCCGGCTCTCGCCGCAGTCGCCGGCGCCAGCGCCGTCGCCGCCTTGGTCGTCGCCGTCGCCGCCCTCGCCGTCGCCGCCTTCGCTGACATGGTCGCCATCGCCTTCGCCGCCGTCGCCATCGTCGCTGTCGTCGGCGACGTCGTAGCCGCCGCCTTCGCCAGCTCCTGATCGTCGCCGACGTCGCCGCCGTCGCCAACGTCGCCAACGTCGCCGTTGCCGCCGCCCTCGCCGTGGCCGTCGCCGCCCCCTGCCTCTTGGAATCGCCTGTGTGGCGGCAACGGGCGGCAACGTGGCGAAACCTTGTCGGACACGCCCAGCGCACGAGGCGGCAGCGGGCTTCAACGTGGCGAAACCTCGCCAGACCCATCCAGCGCGCGAGGCGGCAGCGGGCAGCAACGTGGCGAAACCTCGCCGGACACACCCAGCGTACGAGGCGGCCAGGAGGAGACAACGGGCGGCAGCGTGGCGAGATCTCGCAAGAACCACCCAGCGCACGAGGCGGCAACAGGGTGGTAACGAGGCAGCAACGGGCTTCTATGCTGTCGTCGCCGTCTCAGAGGCATCTTGGACGTCATCTTGGGACATCTTGGCCGTCTTGGAGGCGTCAGTGGCCCTGCTTCCCATCTTTTGGGCGCCTTTCCGGGTGGCCAGCGTGATCGACCAAGATCTCTTGGGAACATCAATGTTTAAAACACGGAAAAATGTGGTACGTCAGCCAGACGGCCTTTTGATAAATTAGCAAGGGGCGGCGGATGACGGAAAGCGCGCATTGCGTTCGATCCGTTAGTCGGAAAAATGAATTTAGGGGGATTTTGAGGGGGTTAGCATCCATTGCCCCAGGATCTAGTATCCAAGATGGGGATTTCGCTCGGAACGTCCTCAAACACTGAGATGTATTGGGATCGATCTCCGAAGGCCTCAATGCGGCCCAACATGGCCCAACAAGATGGCTCGACGAGCCCCTACTTCCGCCCCGACTGACGATTTCGCTTGGGACATCCTCACGCAAATGAGTTGCTTTCGACATCGCTCTTACCCAAGATGGTGATTTCGAAAAGGGCATCCTCACTCAAATGCGATGTAGTCGACTTCGTCTTGGCCTCGGTCTTACTCTAAATGGCGATTTCGCTGGGGACTCCCTCAAACAACGAGATGGTGTCGACATCGTTCTGGCTATTGCCTCAAATGGTGATGTTGCTAGGGGCATCCTCACACTAATGAGCTGTTGTCGACATCGTCTTGGAATAGCTCAATACGCTCCGCGGCTCCGCGAGGCTTCTCAGGCTAGTTGGATCGGACAGGCGGGTTAAAATAACCAGGCGGGTCAAAATTGCCAGCAGGTTCAATCAGCCAGGCAGCTTAAAACGGCCAGACGGGCTCCATCGGCCAGGGGGGCTAAAGCGCCAGGCGGGTTGAAACCGCCAGGCGGGTTAGAACGGCCAGGCGGGTGAAAAAGGCAAGAATCAGCAAGGCCAGACGGTTGCAGGCGAACCAGACGGCCAGGCGGATGAACGCGGACCAGCGGGTTCAAACGACCAGGCGGGTTCAACTGGCCAGGCGGGTTAGAACGGTCAGGCGAGTTAAACGGCCAGGCGGGTTCAAACAACCAGGTAGGTTAAAATGTCGAGGCCGGTTCCAACGGCCAGGCGAGTTCAAACAGCAAGGCGGCTTCAAATGGCCAGGCGGGTTCAAACGGCCAGGCGGCTTAAAACGGCCAGGCGGAGTAAAATGGCCGAGGATGTCAGCGCGACCAGGCGGTCAAAATTGCCACGCGGATCAAAACGCCAGCGCCGTGGACATCCTTTAACACATGATAGATCTCCAACTCCGCATGGTTAAAACTATTGTTCTAACATCGTCTCGAAATCTTTCTCGAAGGCCCTGCAGACGGCTCAAGATGGCCTCAAGACAGCCCGAGAGTCTCCCCAGACGGCCCAAGAGAGCCCCAAGACTCCCCAAGGATGCGACAAGGGCGAGGGAAGAGAAGACGTAAGAGGAAGAAGAACGGACAAGCCAGCGATATCGCGCCATCACAAGTTGTGCTTTCCGTCCCCGTGCCAAGCAGGTCTAGTAGCCAAAATGGGGACGTTGCTCGGGACGTCCTCAAACGATTGAGATGTCTTGGGATCGCCTTCGGAAGGCCTCAAGATGGCCCAGCATAGCCCAACAAAGTGGTTCTAAGACGCCTTACTTCCGCCCCCAACAGTGACGAATTCGCGAGGGACATCCTCACACAGATTCGATGACGTCGACATCCCTCTGGCCCAGAATGGCGATTCCGCTAGTGGCATCCTCGCACGAATGCGACGTCGTCGACGTCGTCGTGGTATCGCTCCGAGACGGCTCGCGAGGCGGGCCAGGCGGGCAAATACGGCCAGGCGGATGGAAACGACTAGGCCTAGCAAAATAGCCAGGCGGGTTCAAATGGCCAGGCGGGTTAAAACGGCCAGGCCGGTTCCAATGGCCAAGCGGGTCCAAGCGGCAAGGCAGGTTCAAACGGCCAGGCGGGATAGAAAGGCCGGGTTAGAGTTGCAGAGGATGTCAGGGCAGCCAGACGTTCAATAATTACCAGGCGGGTTAAAACAGTTTGGCTGTGTCCAAAGGCCAGACGGGTTTAAACGACCAGGCGGGTTAAAACCGCCAGGCGGGTAGAACGGCCAGGCGGGTTAAAGCGGCCAGGCGGATTAAAACGGCCAGGCGGTTGAAATTACCAGGCGGGTTAAAACGGCCAGGCGAGTTACACCAGCAGTGTGAGTTAACGCGACCAAGCGATTTACAACCGCCAGGTGAGTCCGAACATTCAGACGGCTTCAAATGTCCAGGCGGGTTAGAATTGCCAGGCGGGGAACACGGACCAGGCGGGCTAAAGCAGCCGAGGATGTCAGCGCGGCCAGGCGGGTTAAAATGGCCGTGCCGACGAAAACAGTCACGCGGTCATAATGGCCATGTGGTTCGAAGCAGGCATTCGGGTCAAAACGGCCAGGCGGGCTTAAAGGCCCAGACGGGTTGAAAAGGCCAGGCGGGTTGAAATGGCCAGGCGGGTTAAAATGATAGCGTGGGGAATGCTTCTAACATCGTCTTGGAATCGTTTTGAAAGGGCCTACGGACGGCTCAATCTGGTCTCATGGCAGCTCGAGGGTCTCCTAAGACGGTCCAAGAGTGCCCCAAGACTCCCAAGGGATGCGAGGGAC